TGAAGTAGAAGCTGCCAATTCACACTGACCCCAGAGACCTCACTGTTTCTAAGTTGATCTAGTTTTTTTGAGGAGCATCTCCAAAATCCTGCATCTTCTACAGCACTACATTCACAGCTCATTTTTGTGCCCTTAGACTCTGGAGAAAACTTGCCTTTGAACCAGACAAGGGTAAACCAACTCTTCTTAATTATTAGATCCAGATGGGAAACAATGAAGTGTTTTCCATAAACTGCTGAGAGGAAGCTCATTTAGGTAGTGGCACAAGGGATACTAGCTCCTCTGACTTGGATCATAGAAAGTGTATATAGAGAAAAAAGATTCTGCTTGGGATGAAGCCTTATTTTGTGGGACTTTCAGAATTAATGGATTAAGATCTGAAAGTGTTTGGGGCATAGCATTAGTCCCTCCCGGTTTGAGAAGATCAGCTAACAGCTGTATTGTAAAACTTAAAAGGTATCCCTAACAATCTTGGGGCATATTTTAAGAGGAGGACTTTTGGTCCCTTCAGAACTGGCTGCATTTCATGGGCAGCGATATGTAGCACAAGGCAGCATAGTGTGGAGCTATCTGGGGAGCGGTAGGGATACAGCTCCATTAGCATGACACTCCAGTTTAGCTAAGTAAGGCTGTTAGCAGGGCTCATAACAAGCCAGCTTGGCTAGCTCTGCATGGCACTGTTCTCCACTTTGCTACTAGACATGTCCTTACTGGTGCTGATATGCTTATAAAGTTTGTGAAGCATGTTGGAAACCTAAAGGATAAACATCTCTCTATAAATTAATAATCAGCATTTCTTATGTTCTTGTTGCATTCTCTCCTATTAATGGATCTTTATCCTGTATAAAAAGGAAATTGCCTGAGAATTCTATTTTTGGCTTGTTTGTATTAATATACCAAATAGTCTCTGCCTTGCTTTTTATAAGATATACCTCTATATGTAGATATTGAAATAACTTGAGATCAAAATTGCTATTCTCTCTCATTCTAGCTCCTGATACCGTTCCCATTGAAGTCAGTGGAAAGGCTTTTGTTGAGTATAATGAGGTGGATCAAAATCTGAGAAGTAGGAAGCTCTTAGAAGTCTGGCACTTTCTGAAGAGCTTAGGTATTATCTTTGTAGACTCCTCTTGGAGCTCTGTATTATAGATTAAGGAAATTCTAGGGAAATGGGTAAAAATGAGTAAAATTGCCTAGAAAATTTTGTAGGACCATTATCATATATATATATATATGCCATTTTAGAAGCAGGCTCTAAGTTATGCATTGGTAATGCCAATCATCCTCTTGCTTGCTTTTACTATATAGCATAATATGCATAACATCCCTACTATTCTCATCTTGACTCTCTTTTCCTTTTTCTCTTGTCTTTGAAGTAAACACTCCTCAAGGAGAAGAGTCCAGCATCGGCTTAGGGAAAATCTAGAGCTAGCCACTAGCACTGGCTCAGCTTTTAGCACTTTGTTATTGAAGGTACCAACTGGTCTCCAGAGGCATGACAAGCTGTTTTCAATCTCCTCATTTATAGAAGAAATATGACACACACAGCCCACTTCAAATCCAGGTAGTAGTAGATACTCAGTCTAAGCCCTCATTCCTCACTTTATCAAATCTGCCATTGAAAAAAAATGCTGCAGGGGGACATGGCCTGACCATTGTCATTGCTATAGGTATAGGGATTTTGGCTTATGGATCTACCTCTTCCCAAGACTAATTTTTGAGTAGCAAATGCGTGATTAAGTAATTCAGAATGGGGAAAAAATTGAATGTATCAAGATTCTTTGTTTGCTGCCGGTTTGTTCGGGTTTTTTTTTCACTTCTCTCCAAATTCTTCTTATGACAAACATCATCATGACATTGTCAGGTCAGGCTGTGTCAATCACATCCCTTTACATTATATTGTATATGTTTATACATTGGGTGGTGAAAACCGCTTGTGGGTCAGGCAGGAGATTGAAGAGACACTTTTCTGTAGTTTAAATAAAACACAAGCTTTTTCTGAACAGATGGCCAACCCACCCACCATCAGGTAAAGTCAAACAGACCTAATGAATGGAAGGCGAGTGATTCAAATCTCATCAGTTGGACTGGGTTGTTTGTTTGTTTGTTTGTTTGTATTAATGGAAATAAGTTGTACAAGGCTAATCAGGGACTTGATCATGGAGATGCAGGCATTTCTAAAACTAAAAAAAAAAACCATCAAAATTAGCACTACTTGAAAAACCTCTGATGGAAGTTTTCCATTTGAGAATTCAGTTCTGTCCAAAAAAAAAGTTGCTGAAGTTTACTTTTCTTTTCCCAAAATAACTTGCCTACAAAATTGCCATAATTACTGTTTTAACATCTTCTCCCCTCTTTTCATTTGTGTTTTTGGGTGTTTGTTTGTCTTTCTTTCTTTCTTTTCTTTTTTTGATTGCTGGCTTTTGAAGCAAAACATGAAGTCCTCTCAAAAACAAAAGTTCATTGCAAACAAAATACCAATGCCAAAATAACAACATCAACATTTTTAACATTTTGTTTTGGATCTGCAACACTATTTTTGTGGGGAGAACTCTCTTCTGTGCACTTTTGAGTTCAGGTTTCATTACTAATCCAAAGAAGAATAAATGTTGAAATTTCCTAATCTTTTGAAACAGAATTTCTATTCACTGCATGGCTCTATTATTAGGAACAAATCGAGTCCCACTAATTCCATCCCCTGCCCCAAAGAAGTTTGTATGTCATAAAAAAAAACAAAAAAAAAAAACCCTCTCTCTCCAGGGTCACTTGAGGCTCAGATCTGGAATAGAAAAATGAGTTTAATGTACTATCCTGGAAATACCCCTTGTCCCTGTTCATATCTAGGTCACAGGATCAAAGCAACTGATTCTCTACCAATACCTTGAGGTTCCCATATTGCACTCTTTTGTGTGCTCTTGCTTCCTGTCAATGGCTAATTTTAACCCCTTTCTCAGCTAAGGCTGACTTCCAAGGATGCTGAGCACTTGCAGCTCCACCTGTGCTTGGAGACTGCTGTAGCTGTTCAGCATGTTGGGAAACCAAGTTTCTGGTTGCAAGGCTGTTAGGATAACCCTATGTGGGGTATGTTTTTCCCAAACCATTATCAGGAGTCAGGGTCCCACGTGGGTCTAACTATCCCCAGCTGGCCCGTTACCTGCCTGATATAAGCAGCTGACTGCTCATATTCTTCAAGCCAATCAACAAGGCAGGTGCATGCATCAAACTCTAGATCCTTGTTTCTTCCTATTGGTTCCTAGTTCCTGCCTCCTAAATCTTTGCTTCCTGACCATTGGCTTGTGCCCCCTTTCTTAATAGCCACCAGCTCTGGATCCTCTGGGTCATGATTTTGGTTTGGATCCCTGCTTCCTGCTCCTGACCTAGATCTTGACTCCATCTTGGTGACCACTCAGGTCTTGGTCCCTTTCAGACCTCAGCCTCTTGATCTACCTGTTCTTGATGCCTTGACTCATGACTCTAGCTTGGACCCTTGTTTCCTGAACTTATCCTCTCTTAGCTGCTGACTCCCTAGCTCTGATGCTGACTGCTCACATTCCAGTTGTCCCCTGACACTCAGGGACATTTTTGTTATGTTGTTCTCATTAAAATCATTTTTTTTTAATTTTATTTTTTGAAATATTAAATCTCAAATGTTCAGAAAATCCACAAAATGTGGTGTGTGTCAATCAATATGTCGTACTTTGGCAGTTCTTCATTTAAATGTGTTATCTATAATTAGCTTAAATTCTGTAACAAAGTTATTCTGAATAGGGTGGGGGGAGGGAGAGAGGGAGGGAGGGAAGGAATGTGGAGCTTTTCATCTTTGGAAATGTTTAACCAAAATATTTCATAACTTTGCATAAAACTATTCAGAATCAACTCATTCCAGGAAATGAGCTTTTTTGGTTCCAGTTGTGAGAGGGGGAAAAAAGTGCTGTTGAAATATTCCTGAACAGCTCTACCTGAGACTTGGAAAAAAATAATTTTTTAACTACTATTACATTAATATTTAGTTATCTCCCTGTGCTTCCCTTGTCCGCACACCAAAAAAGTACCAAGTACAGCCTCTTATTGACTTTTGGATATTTAGCACTTCAAACAGCTATATAGGGAATGTTGGTCTTCATTTTTAATGTTAATTTATACTATTATTGGAGAAATTATTCTAGATGAATTTTTGTTAATCAACTCATTGTATGGAAAATCATTTCCAAGACAAACTCATCTACTTCCCCTTTCCTGGCAAGTTTATTTATTTTATATTTATACCAATTTATACTACATTGCAGTAACTTATACCTTGTTTTTTCTTCAAGGATACATTTTAAATAATAGTTTTTGATCTCTCTTTCTCTCAATTCCCGGCGATGACAACAGCCATTTTAGTTTGCTCTTTTTTTTTTTTTTTCAAGACGGGTAACATCCTGTCTAAATTCTTGTGTGTTCTTGACATTTCTGGGAGTGTCATACTTTTCTGGCCTCATCTAAGATGACTCTTGTCATTTTGCTTTTTTTGTGTGTGATAGACAAGTATCTATATACTAAAGCAGAACATTTTTCTCTTTTTTTTTTTTTTTTTGTGTGTAAGCTAGAGCTTACTCAAGTACATTGGACAAAACAAGCACCAAAGAAAAGAGTACTTTGTTGGCACAGCAGTCAAAGCACTGACTTGAATTTCTCTTTAAGTGACTTACTGAGTTAACTTATTTGGAAGCAGTGAAATGAAATACAGCAAGTGCCCGACATGTCAAGTAAGAATGAATATCCTTAAATAAAGAGTGAATTTGATATCAGGGAAGTTTCTGTTATTGCCCAATGTTCTTAGATGGAACAGGTGGTGAAGGAAAGTAGTTAATCTTAAAGATTATAGGGTTACCTAGCTGGAAGACCAAAATATTTTATACAAATAAGTTTTCAAGTCAGAACCTTAAACATTGTATTAACACCCTACGCTGAAGTCAAATCTAATCTGTATTTTTTCTCCTCACACTATACTAGGGTCTCCTGCTGCTCTGAATGAGTTGACTTAATAGCAACAGGATTGGGCTCTTCATGGACAAACTATTCTGCCTGTAAGTAAGCTCTCACTCCCTGAAATGTTGTGTGAAGGTGGACTTTAGTAAAAAAAAAAAAAAAAAAAAAAATGAAGCATGTGTACTTGCATGTGTATAGCTAGATCTGATCAGGAATCCTGTGGTGACAAAATGGTGACTTGTCCAAAAAGGAGGTGGAAGGGACAGGAAAACTGCACTGCCTGATTTTGAGAAGTGCTTTCCTGTCTTTCCTGCTTTCTTTTTCCATCAAAACTTGACCCAAGCAGAAGGTAGAGGGACAGATCTCTACCTGGTGTTTATTGGCTTCAGTTGAATTAAATTGATCAACAACAGCTGAGGATCTGGCCCAAAATTATCAATGGAAGCTGAGTTCTAAACCTGAGATTATCATCTTTGACTTCCCATCGCCACACAGAGGAAGTGGGACAATTGACCAGAATTTACAACTGTGATTAGGCACATGAAAGATGCTAGGTGATATTCAGAAAGATGTCAAACAAGGCCTGGTTGCTAAACAGCTTGCTCTTTTTATCTTTGTTTTCTTCTTACATTCAGTAACCACCAGGAATAGCACGTAAGTGGGGCAATATGTATGCATTACATAAACCCTTCTCTGTTTCCTTAACGGATGTAAACCTATGAAATAAAATCTGTGCTTGGAACTGTAGCTAGTCATCTCTATATCTTGAGGGGACTGGTTTCCCTGGCCCCTACCGTGAAGAATTTGATGAGGCAGGAGATTCTTTACAACACATGGCAAATTTGATAATAGACACACAAAACTGTGTGATTGTAAATCTCTGTTGAACCATCAACTAAAAAGTATGCATGTTGCCATGTATTTAATATGAAGCCACGAAAGTGGTTTTATGTACCTTCTAATGCACGTGGACACTTTTCCCATTACTGATGACTCCCTAATAATATTAGAAAAACAATTTAGTCTCACTCTGATACATGACTATACAACCATTGAGAATGCAATGGTGTGGAGCAGGGAGATGCATCTCCAGAGCCAGGACTTTGGGGCCTGCTCTAGATTTGTACTGAAGATCATCTCCAGTCAACCCAGTGGTCCAATGGACTGTC